GGTCAGTCAGACAGCTCCCCTGCCTGCCCTGGGGGGACCAAACCGTGCCGGAATCTCATCTTTGGGGAATATTGTACCGTAGGTTGGGTCCTCCAGCCTTCAGTGCCTGCGCTGCCTTGTGAGAGCGATGGGGTGTCAGGGCTGTGTTGTTGCAGAGCTAATTCATGAAACAGGGGATCTTAATAGTGTTCAGAGATGTGAGAAATAGATATTTTTCCATTTTAATTTAAAAAAAAAAAAAGTCGTTTTGTTCTTCGGTTAGCAGTTCGGGTCATACGTCCTGATGGGGTACACAACTGTTACAGACATCCCACTCTAATTGGTTTAGGTTTCAGTTTCGTGCGTAGTAAGTTAGGTGATGGTGATGACAGATTCTGTGTTTTGTAATCGGTCTACTTCTTAAATTCTTCTGTAGGTGGATTGTATGTTGCTTTGGGGTTTAAAGAGGAAGTGGAGAAGCACCACGACTTTCTTCTTCAATTGCAGCCTTAAGACATCCCCCAGTCTGGATTTTTACCGTGCTGTTTGTAATTCAATCTAAGATGGTACTTGTGCTGTGAAGACAATATTACTTAAAGAAAACATAATTTGTTATGCTAAAATGCTGTGTTAATTGCCCGTATTCTTATTGAGGAAGATGGAGAATCTTTGATGTATAAATAGTGGAATAAGCCCAAGTTACCCATGGTGGCTCTTGTGCTCTTGAAAAGGTGCAGCAGGCTTTAATAATTTAAGGCTTTCTTATGTAATGCATCCAATTTAGACGTTGAAGGAATTTTTACCTTGATTTGAGCTTTGAACTTGTCCCTTTTAATGCCTCTGACCAGTCAACAGTTTTCGCTTAATCTCAGTCGTGAAATTAAGGTTCAAAAGCTTTATGTGAAAACAAGGCAATAGCCTTCCATACAAAAGCTCAAGGATGGAAGCGGTGGTGTGCTGCCTTTTGTTTAAAAGAGAAATCCTTCCTCTCCAACAGAATAGGGAGGCATTCAGGGTTCTTGATCCATAAGTCATAGGCGGGTCCTGGTACTGGAAGGGGGTTAATTTGCCTGAATGTTATGTCTAAGTTGACAAATCAGCACAGGGTGTGATTTGGCTACTGTCACTCAGTGTTCTTACCATGGGCTGACAAAGCTAGGCATTTTCCGTTTTTTGATTGCTTCTGGTGCTGCTGTTCAGCAATAGACCGGTGTTCCTGCGTGAACGAATCATCCTGTCATAGGTTTATATGGACATCAGGCATCTAATGAATCACAGCAGCTAACAGAGCATTTGAACAGAGTCTGAAACTTGGCTTTTTTTTTTTTTTTTAACCGTGTGAGCCATAGTCTTTGGTCTCCCCAAAATTCTGGGGAGTCATCTCTTGGAAACCCTTGCATTCACACAATTGCTTCTAATTGCAAATAAAGATGGAAATCTGATTTGTGTGCTGAAAAGAATTTAAAAGTACAGATGAAGGAGATCGTTATTCTTTCATAACTTCAGTAAAATTATGACCTAGGCTTTTAATTCTAACTTTCTTTTGTTTTTCCAAAGCATAGTCCTCTATGAAAGATGCCAGAAACAAATTTTTAACGTATCTTGCTGTAAGAGGCATGAATGTATCTGTGAATAGCTTTATGGAAGAGATGCAAAAAACCCGATAGTGCCACTTGGCATCTGCACTATGGAGAACATAACAGTGCTTTTTTGAACCTGGGATTTTTCACAAGGCTCTATCATTACTTGCAAGTTGAGGATAGTGCCTTAATAAAGTCGTCTGCCTGTTGTCTCGACTGCATCGCTTTGGTTGCCAGAAACTGCTGCTTTCAGTGGAAGCTTTGCTTAACATAGATGGATGAAACGTATGTGAAAGTTGTCCTGAAAACTTGACATCCAGTGCTGTTACTTTACAACAGCTAAGCTTAGTTAGTGCCTTTGTGAGAAGAATGAGTTAGTGAAGGTCATGAAGTACCACGGTTAAAATATGTACCCACATCCCAGGTACTGTAAGACCTAAACATTTTTGTATCTTGCACTAGAAGCGTTCAGAGATGAGTCAGGTGTGTTGTTTGAGGGGATTGCCTGAATAAGAGAAGAGGAAGCTGGCAGCACCTCTCTCTATTATGCTTTTTTGCTTCTGGCAAATTTTATTGGGTAGGGAAAAACCTACTAGTAAGTACTGCAGCCCTCTTGCTTATCTCCCCGAAATATGTTACTGTTTCTTGCACATCGTACCCTCGCTTCTTTAACCCTTGAGACTCTGTTTCGTGTGGAACCAGGAGTCTTCATTGTTCTTCTGGTGAAGTTCCACTTTTGTTTCAAAAAAATATATTTTCCATGGGAGAAACGTTACAATGTCACAAGAGAAGGATGTGGAGTTTCTTCTTCAGCATAGTGCTGCTCTTGGGGGTCTGAGACTATTTGGCTTTTTAAAATTTATAAAACAAAGATATATGATTAAACAAATAGAAGTATTAATAATATAAAATTGTTAGTTAGTCATAATGAGATGTGGGTTTGGGGTTCTTTTAGAGCACCTCACAAGTTTTAACTGCTGTAATACCCTTTGTAGCATCCTTCAAAAGACAGTATTTCAATACATGGTTTCCAGCCAAAAGTTCCTTGGCTGACAGTGGTGCTCAGTGCTAAACTGTCTGGTTGAAGTAGTTCTGCGGGGTGTTAGCAACTACTGTACAGTGATCTGTGGGGTTTTATGCAATTCTAAAAATAAAGGCTTTGTGCAATTGTCTTCAGAAAGACAACAGATACCAAAAAAAGACTGGTTTTGATAGGTGCCTGATGGTACAGACTTGTAAATGTTGAGTGGATAGGGTGTACTTAATTCTCTGTTCACGTTTTGTATATGGTATTAATATCTGAGCTCTTGGGAACCAGCTTATTTTAAGTCTTGTCAAGCTATGTAGTTTCAGTGTCTCATTGATACTGCCAGCCTGCTTTACCCTTGCTGTGGGCTTTCCAGGCGGCAACACCTGTGGAAGAGGCACTTTTAAAAAGGAATACAGAACTGTCAAACTGAGAGTCTGAGCCTGAGAAACTACCCAAGTAATTGTATTCAACACAAGAGGTTAATCTATTATTACATCAGATTGAGGAAATGCAATAGAGGAGTCGCTAAATGGCTCTGCTGACCCAGTTTCTGTTCTGGGCTTCGTCCATGGTTGTCTGTATAACCTTCGGTGCATTCGTTTCACTGTCTGTACTTTCATCTCCCTCCCAAGCCTCGTATCACTTGAACAGAGATGACCTTTCATTAGTCAGTAGTGGAGCTTCTTCCTAGTGGTTCCATCCAAACAGTGTTGTAATACTTAAAAAAAAATGAAGAAAAAAAAAGTTCTGTGCCATGGAAGACTTGGACTAAGACCTGAGTGAAACTTTTTTTCTTCTTGTTCTGTTTGAGTTCAGTAGTTTTGAAGGAGCTTTTTGTGGTAGTGGATTTAAAGGGTGTTTTCCAAATGTGTTGAAATGCATTATACCTGAAAAATATTACCAGCTCTGGAAGATGAGCTCACATCAGAATTATCATTCATTACCTACTGTTATCAGCCCGTTCTAGCAGTGTATGTATTCATTTCAGTGAACTGCAATACCTGATTGGTTTCTGATGCTTCTCTGAGAAGAACATGGACTACATGGAGACAAAGCAAAAGTTTATCTCTAAGAGGACAACAGTATGATATTTTTTTTTGAGATCAGTTATAAGTGAGTACACTTCCTTAAGGGAATGAAGTGGTTTAACTGCAGTTGGTCATTGACATCTCCTCGTCCCACTGATGCTAAATCTCATCTACAATGTGTTCATATCGTCATAGTCCTTGTTCTTTTGATGGGTACTTTCCAGATAGAGTGAGACATGGGCAAGGATATTCGATTCTGTTTCCTCTCCTCCTGGTATGGATTGTTGCTTAAGATGCTGAATTAGTTTTCCTGTTAGTAAAATATGGAAATTGTACTGGTATGCACTTGAGTTGGAAGGCGTGAGGAATTTTAAGTGGCGAGACTAGGAAGGGGGCTGCAGCATTTTTAATGTGTTTTTCTAAGAGTATGTCCACTAGAGAGCAGCAAAAACCCGTATTCCTAGAAGCTTTGGCTATTCAGCTGATTAGGCATTGTTTGTGGCTTTTAAGGGAGGGGGAGAGTGGCTTCAGAAGGCAGTCGCGATCTGTGTGTGACAGGAGACCCGTCAGTCGTATGGGACAGTGGACTGGAGATAGCGGCACCTAACGGGAACAGAAGTGTAGGCTGTGTCAGGTTGTTGGGAATGCTGTAGCGAGAGAGAGGTGGGAACGAACCGGGGGAGGAAGATCAGACACCAAGTGCTCTATTTAGCCACAGCAGTATCAGTGTGTTTCGACAACTTCACAGGATCAGGAAGATGAATAAGCGTAATGAGGGCGACCCAAGCCTCATTTTTCCCTTCAAGTAACTTGGCCTCTGTACAGTGACTCGGTGTAAATATATCTGACTGAATATCTGCCTCTGTCTTTAGGCATTCGGGTGCGGGTGCGGCTGTGATGAGCCAAGAATATTATTTAAATAGGAAAAAAAAAGTAATGGATTAAGCAAGTGAGATAAAGGCCTGCTTGTTAAGGAAGTTGAAAGAAATACCGATGTGTGAATATTTTAGGAAACTTTTAATGGTTTTAATGTGTTAAAAATAATTTAAGTGTAAATTACGAAAGGCAGGCCAACAGGAAAATAACTGTTAAATGTTCTCAGAGTTAAACTCTGAATCATAAGACTTTCCTTACTTCTCTGATGGGGTGCTGGGGTTGAGAAATTGCCTTTTCGAAAAGGGGTGCTGTTAAGGAGCTTTACCTTCCTGTGTGCTAGTTCTCATTTCATATACCTTCTAATTTTTAATAATCTTCATACTAAAAAAATCACTTTGCATCCCATTCATGGTTTTTTCTCCCTTTTTCTGACAGGTCTGTGGGCTGGTGACTCTCTCTGAAACATGGGATATCTTTCTGTAGTGGGTCTTAAGAACTTTGTCATATCTTTTCTGTAACAGTGGAGGATGATTTACCATAATTTGTTTTGATTCAAAATCTTGGGGGAAGGAGGTGTTTTCAGAGAAAGGGGTGCACCTCAGAATTGAGACCTGAGAATATATATTTGAGATCAGATCACCACTTACTTAAATCCATGATATCCAATGATAGAGGGGGTGTAAAATCCGAGGCTATTCAGGCAATTATCTTAAACTCTTGCATTCAAGTGAAACACCCAATTTCAGATTTTTGGAGCAACTTTTGCTTTGCCACTTACTAATCCTCACACCTTTGGTGTGACATTTTGAATGTATGCTTGAAAGAGGCTTGTTTATGGCTTGGCACATTTTTGTGCTTTGGGCATGAATGTTTAAGATTTGAAATTTGTATAAATTTCTGTATTTTTAATCTTTGTGCATGCATGTACACAAGTTCTGTGCTAGCTTTGGCTCTCCACAGATGTACGAGTGGAGTCCGAGCATATTGATATTTTTATTGTTGCTACTGCACTGTTTTCTGTCGGGCTTTCGTCCTGTAAATGCTGGATGGAATGGAGAAAGAAATTTGAAGTAGTAGTCTTCCTTCTCCAAGAATTTCTGCAATTTAAAGAATGAAACTTGATCATCTTAGACATGATTAGTCTGTCATTCCTGCTTCCCTCCCCATGCCCCCTCCTTCACTAGTGCAATTGATGGCTTTAGTAAACCAGGAACTTGAATAATGTGTGGCAGTGTTTTCCTGTGGCTTCATAAATAACAAGTCTAAACCATATTATGCGGGTGTGAAAGGATACATTCTCAGGTCCTTCAGGGTTTGTTTTTTAAGGAGCATTAAGCCTTTATGTGCCCTTTCCTCAGCACAAAATTGAAGGCACCGAGTAATGTATAAAGCATTAATCTTGGGTAGCTAGCAGCGTCCTCTTTGTTACTTACGAAAGCTATACCCAAGGTTAGTGTGGAAAAAATGGCATTATCTGTATTGGGGTTGAAAGTAGCAGAATAGCATGCTCTGGAGGATACGGTGTTACTGAAAAGTCTCAGTCTTAAGATGAGGAACTGTAATGGAACTTCTTTACCTGGAGGGACGTCAAAGGATTGCAGCCTTTTCCTTTTAATACATAACTGTATCAGGAGCGTTGACTTCAGCTTTACATTTGACTTTCTTTCATCTGCTCATCTCCTTTTTTTTTTTTTTTTGTCCCACTAAAAAGCCTTGTAGTGTTGTTCTGTAGTGTTACAGTTTGGTGTTTATGCAACCAAAAAGATTACAGGCCTCGTAGTGTTTTGAACTTTTCTTTAGTCATTCAGGTTCTTTCTTAGCTCAGAACATGTACCAATACTAACACTCATGTTTTTTCTCAACACAGCACTACAGTGTTACTGCCATCTCTGTACAAAAGACAACTTCACGTGTGTGACAGATGGGCTGTGTTTTACTTCAGTAACACGAACTGCAGACAAAGTCATACACAACAGTATGTGTATAGCAGAGATTGACTTGATTCCCCGAGACAGGCCGTTTGTTTGTGCCCCCTCCACCAGAGATGGAGTCATTACTGTGTCTCATTGCTGTGACAGAGACCACTGCAATAAAATTGAACTTCCAGTTCCGACACCAGGTAAGGGGGTTTGGCATATTTGATTTTTTTTTTTTTTTTTAAAAAAAAACAAACACGAAGTGCTCTAAGAGTAGAGGTTTCGGTTCTGAAGTTGTGGGTGAATTTGAACGCCTAAAGTACGCCTTAGATTCTGCAAATAAAGTTGCCAGAGATTTGGAACAAGAAATTTAATCTTCTGGATAGGGATGTTAAGGGCAGCTTTGAAGACTGACATGCAAGTTAAATGGAAGCTGTGAGTAAGCAAATAGCTGCTTTTGTCCTTTGTAATGCTTATTTTGATCCTTGAAAAAGTTACTGTGCAACGGTTGTAGCAAATAGATTTAAATAATTTGAAGATCACTGTGAAATACAATAAACTTAGTTGCATAAAAAGAAAGAAATAGTTTTACCGTTTCCTTTTCTTTTTACTGTCAGGCCCTACTCCAGGAAAACCAGCTTCTAATCTAGGACCTGTGGAACTGGCTGCTGTTATTGCTGGACCTGTCTGCTTTGTCTGCATTTCACTAATGTTGATTCTATATCTTTGTCATAATCGTACTGTAATTCATCATCGTGTGCCAAGCGAAGAAGATCCCTCACTGGATCGTCCCTTTATATCAGAAGGAACTACTTTAAAGGATTTAATTTATGATATGACAACTTCAGGCTCTGGGTCAGGTACTGTCACACTTCTAGTAGTAATTACTCTGTGTTCAAGAGCCTTGTAAGGCATCAAATTTTTTTAATATTGTCAAATCTATGTAAACTTATAATTAACTGGAGAAATGACTAGAAGAGCTACTTCCATGTAGATTCATTCAATACCAGTGAAGACTCAATATATGGAAATAAGTGGAGTACAAGAAACATAGTGGGTAGCTGCTGCTGTTCCTCGTCATTCTGAGAGTACAGTCTGATACGCAGGACGTGTCACAGTCAGCTATTGCAAATGTTTTGTTTCTTCTGTTAGTAAGGCTCAGCCCTTTACCTCTTTGTTCCGTGCAGCATATCTAAATTGCCATCTTCTGTGGTTTTGAGATAACTTGTGAAGTTGTTTTTTTCTTTAGCTTTAAACTGAAGATTCATTTTTAGCTATATAGCTATTGGTATATGAAGGTTGTTCTGACTTCTGAGTTAATATTTTAGCCAGTTCTCTCCTTACAGAAGGTATTTTTTCAGTTGCAAATAGCCGTTTCTATGCATATGGAATGGATGCGGTGTGCAGAGCACATCTGAAGGATTTTTGTCCCTTGATTTAATGAATTTTTGTTTTAATTCTGACTTCAACAGGTGTTGCTCTGGGAAGATGAGGCAATGGTCTGTTCATTGCGTATAGTCTCTGCTATTGTAATCCTGACACAGTTGCTTATAGGATTGTGGTGGTCTGTGTCACAGAAATGTGGTTTAATAAGCGTTAATAGGGGATGATGTGTCAGATAAGTCATTGTATAAATTAATTAATCTCTGGTCCACGTTAAGGAGCAAGACATCAGATTGTGTACTGCGGTGTCTTATCAGCTTTCTACTGTATAAAAAGTTGAAATAATTTAATACTGAAAATTATTCCCGCTACTTGCAAATGCATGTGCTGAAACATCCGTGCCCTTTCAGAGTACTTTCTGCAAAGAAATACTGGTGTTTGATTCTCAACTGCTGAACTCTTTAATTTCCCAGAATTGGAAAAAATCATGGCAACAAAACCTAAGCTAGTCTAGTTGGTGTTTCTATCCCAAGGGCAGCAACTGGTAAAACTGTTTAGAGTCTATTGCTCTGTCAAGTGAAATCAATGTAACTTGCTGAATATGTTTAGAATATAGGTCAAAATAAGTCATCTTTAGTCGTATCTTCACTGAAGAAGGTGAGGTTGCACCAAGTGTGTGGGCAGTTACGTTTCAGTTGAGGGTAGGTTGCTCTCTGGTTAGAACTGGAGCTTTAGTAGTTTGTGTTTATCTCAGTTTTCTCATTTATTAACAGTAGTAACGAAATCAAATAATGAAAATGACTAGTGGAACTTCCCATATAATTGGGCTAGAACTTGGTAAATGCAAATACTGGACTTAATCCTCCAGTTATTTATGTTCTTTCAAGGGGTGGTATATAGGAGTAAGAGACTTAGTAACAGAATATGAAGGAGTCAAAGGTTTACATTTCTTGGAATGCAGGAAGCTATGATATACGATTGTTACACTATTAGGAGCATGAAACGCTTAATGTCTGCAGGTGCAGACTTTTCCTAAAGAAGGCTGAAAAGAATTTCTAATTTTATTTTTCTTTTTAAAAGTTAAACCTTAAAAGAGCAGGTGTGTGTTCTATATGGATAAGTAATCGTATGCAAAAGGTACTAGCTGCTATCACTTCAGTAAACCCAGGAAAGAAAATGTTTAAAGTTTTCCCTTGAAGCTGTGTTTAAGTCTTGTTTGTTTTAAAGTGCTGTTTGGTTGGTAGTTCCCTTCCACCTTCAGTAGATAAACACAGCACTTCTGCCACTTCCTACGTGGCTGCTTTCCCACACTTCTTTAGGTCTGTGATAATGTTAATTCAGACTTAGTTGTCAATTGGCCTTTCCTTTAGTTATCAGGAATATTCCTTCATCTTCCTTCTGAACCTGTCTTCATGTTTGCAAACTCTGGAAGTACTCCTTCAAAATAAGGTCAGAAGAAACTTAGGATTCTTCCTCCAGAGCAAATGGTTGGAAACTACTGACTCTTTCCTTGCTTGTTGCGAATTACACTATAAGTAAAAGCAGCACACCAGGGAATGACTTAGCTGCAGAGCTTCAGGACACTCAAGCTGGTCTACGTTCCCAGAGCACCCGACCTGCTATAGTGTTGGAGCATTGGCTGCTGATGGCCGCATCAGAGGAAGAAAACCAGCAAATATGGTCTAATTGGACTTCCCCTAAGGAAAGCTCTTCACTGATTTGTTTTTACACTTGTAAGACTAAGTCACATTCCCTGTGAAACAAGACTGAATGTTTCCTTAAGAGTGATCTTTTAACTTCAGCTGCAGTGAGCTCCATGTTGTTTGGCTGTTTGCAAGATAAGTGTTAGCCTTATTTAGTGTTCTGTACTTCCTTTTTGCTATGGCAGTGGGACAGGAGGTGCTTCAAGTACTTACTTTCTGTACTGCTGGCAGTGTGTATGTTTGCAGTGATTCGTATCGCTTTGTCTCCAAATTAGTCAGTCGATGACTCTATAAATTCACAGTGCCCTAGCACTTGAACGGATCGTTTTCGTGTGTCCTGAAATACGCCTGCAGCAATTGACTCATTGAAATGTGTATTTTAATCCAGACTTTGCTACAGCACATTTAAACTTGAGAAGACTGTATATTTATGGAATAAACTGGGGATGGGGAACAAGGTCGCTGAAGGGAGAAGAGTCAGAGCTGCTAGTTAAAATAGTGCTAACCCTGTCAGAAACGGAACTGTGTGAAAGGAATGCTGTTGGGGTGAGAGGTTGCAAGAAACACACTGGAAATGTACCGAACAGAAAAAATAATCCAGAACTAGGAGGCACAGCTGAGGAAGTGTTCAGTCTGGTGCCCTAAAGTACGTGTTCTGCTGTTAAATTCATGCTGAGGGACCAAAAGAGCTCATCGTGGAATAAAAAGGATTCTACTACTTTTGTGTTATGGTATTCTCTGAAGAGAAGCATATAAAAAAAAAGAGAAGTGATCAAAACTCAAAACCAAGCTTCCTACTCGGAGCAGAAGGGAAGTAGGATTCATTTTCTGCAGTGATGAATAATAAACTGTTATTAATTATTCAGTCTTGACTTCTGTTAGTATTGCCCTGTTGTTCCATGATGAACAAGACCTGAAACAGAGAGAGGCTTGATGAAAGAAATTGATGAAATATCTAAAATAGATCCTTGTGCTGAAACTGCAGCTTCTAAGAGAAGGATTCCAAAGTCTTGTGAGGCTGAGAATGATTTTCAGACCATGCTGCGAATCTCTAAATATCAACTACATGTCGTATAGACTCATGGGGGTGCCCAGTTGTTACTCTCCAACTCAGAAATGACAAAGTAGCTTGGTTGCAAGGAAGTAGGGAGAATTGCCTAAAACCAGGGGGAGAAGCTTTGGTTGTTACTGGTAGTGACTTCAAGAGAAACTGGTGTTTAGAAATCCAAAGGGTCACAAAAGTCAAAGTAAAGGCGAGTCAGTTGAAGTGAATGTAAAATGTAAAATGCCTTAAAACTCATCTGTGGTTCACAGAAGCTTGAAGGGAATGAGATTTTTTCGCAGTTCCTGGAGTTGGATTTTTTTATTACCCTTTAGAGAAAGTGTTCTGGGCAGAGACGAGCAAGGTGCTAGCAGCTGCTCTTGTTGGCTGTTTTAGGACTTAATTCCCAAATTATCCACATCGGGTACAGACTTCTTATGCTTTGGACAGTTGTTGGTCCAAACTGATCAGAGCACAGTTAAGATATGGAAAAGAACTCTTTTGTTAAAGTCTCGGAAGAAAGCTTCTTTGAGAGTGCTTTGTGATGGTGTCTGAAGGGGATGATGAAGGCTTCAGGGATAAATTGGATAACCGTGGCTGAAGACAAGATGCCAAATGTTAGGAGCTGCTGTTAAATTTAACATGGGCTTGAATTTTCTCATCCTCCTGATGAGCAAACTGCCTGTCATCTTTCTTCATGCACGGTTGCAAGAAGCTGTACTCCAGGTGCTTGAAGTACAGTCGTGCCCAACGGGCCCGTCAAAGGTTAACGCTGTCGCTGGCTCCAGTGAGCTACTCTTCAGGCAGCCTGGTTTACAGTAAAGCAGTTGCTCAAGTTCCTGGCGATACAGGGCTCTGTTTTCTCTATAGCAAAGAGAGGAGACTGCTCAGTTGCAACAGGAATTCCGTAAGGAATTCCTACGGAGGCGAGAAAAACAGGAATTCCAACCTTCTGGTCTTGCTCAGCAGCGGTGGCAAGAGAAAGCACAGGTGAATCTTATAAATGTTGTGAAAATCAGTATTAGGAGCAAGGCGGATAGATCAGTTAGCAGGGTTTTTCTGGTACTGTGAGATGTTAAAATGATGATTGGGGCTTCATAATGTGAAATGGAAGTGCTTCACGTCTGGAAGGTTGAGAGGTTAGTACGAGTTTAGAGGTTAGCTAATAGCCTTGGAGATCTTTTTTTAAACAAGAAGGGATGTCTGTGGATGGTACAGCAAGTTGAGAGCAGTGCATCTGAAAAGGTACAAACAGTTTTCTGAAACAGCTGTAGGAAAAAGAAAAGTTAGGCATATCACCCATTTCAAGTACACAAAATCAGCTTGGATTTTACCATTTGCCAGTGGATTTTGCAGTAGTACGTAAGTGCTAGGGAGGAAGGAAGCTGTCTCTGATCAACAAAGTCAAAATTTTACGTTTTCAGGTTGAGTTTGGTCCCGTGGTTGTTCTAGTCTGGCCTCTTCTGCGTTTCAAATATGCGTCCATAAAGAATACAAGCTAGGCTTCCCAGGTGAGCCTTTACAGTTTGGGGGCGCAGCACAATTGACCCTGGGACACCTATCAGAGCAAAAATGGTATCTTTTTCCGTAGGAATTATTGCAGCGCCTGACAATGATTCAATGGTATAGTGTCCATTTTTTTTCCCCTTTCCTTTCTCCTTGTAGGTTTGTTCTCAGCACAGGTTATGCAGAAAATCCCTGTAGGTCTAGAAGTCTCGAGGAACTGCTCTGAGCACTGCTGTGCTTTAATTTGCAGTCCTCAGGCTGAGACACAAGCGTGACAATGCTGCTGGCCAGATCAGATGTCCTTCTAGTGCTGTTATTAGCGAAGAACATCCGGAGATGGGCAGGAGCTAGCTATTTGAGCTATTAGTTTGGATTTATTTTCTAGAGCACAAAGAAATACAGGTGTTCTTCTCTCAGCTATTGGAACAGTGATTATGGAGTAGTAGTTTACTTCGGTTTTGGTTTAACTGATATAATCGTGCACCAAAAGAGCTTATTGTGAGCAGGTAACCCGGCTGATGCATTTGTCCTGCACTGTAGCATCACCACAGAATTCTGAGACAAGCCTTGCGGTTACAACAGGAAAGATTTAAAATAAACAAACCCCCACCCTGGTTGGGGGATGCCTGTGCTTCTTGTTTGTTGTATAAACTTCCTGAAGCATGTTATGAAGTGCTGTCAGTTGGAAGCATGTAGGTGTTCCGAAGCTATAAAACCTTCATGAATGTAAGCATTTCTCGTGTATAATTATAGTGAGGTGCACAAGAATGGCCTGTAAATGGGAGGCTTGCGTTGCAAGGATGTTTTCCTATGTTACAATGGCTTGAAGAGTATTAAAAGGCTGCTGGCATACCTGGGCACGAGTGTGAGCTTGTAACAGTCAGTGTTGCCGATAAGCATGGTTTAACTTTAACTAAGAAATGGACCGAGTCATATCCAGTGATAAATGGAGTAAAGGAATCGGTAGCAAGAGCGGTCTTGAACTGCTTTTGCCAGGAGAGATATGGGCAGGTCCTTTTCTAAAAATAAAAACATAAAAAAAACCCAACCAAAACCCACAACCAAACAAAAAAAAACCCCAACCAAACAAAACCCCCTCAATCCTAGTCCTGACTGCTTCATGGTTTGTTTCTTTTTTTCATTAAAATAAAACTATGGATGAACAGCTGTCAAAATTCTAAACTGAAAGGAAGTTTGTGTTGTCTTTTTAACCACAGTAGAGGCAGTTTGTAGCACTGTATCTTTGTTTTACTGGCCTTTAAAGTTGAAGGCAGCATCTTACATACTTGTTAGCAGTTCACAAGAAGCTGTTAAAATCTTAAGAGAGTTTATGTGCATTTGAAGAGAAGTATTTTAATAGAATATGGATCTTCTGTTTAGTGCTTAGGAAAATGCTTATCTTGTTACTGATGTTTAAGGTTGATGTTAAATCTTCTTTTTAGGTTTGCCTTTACTTGTGCAAAGAACAATTGCAAGAACGATAGTACTTCAAGAAAGCATTGGTAAGGGTCGCTTTGGAGAAGTCTGGCGAGGGAAGTGGAGAGGAGAAGAAGTTGCTGTGAAGATCTTCTCTTCAAGAGAGGAACGCTCATGGTTTCGTGAAGCAGAAATTTATCAAACAGTTATGCTACGACATGAAAACATTCTTGGATTTATAGCTGCAGACAACAAAGGTTAGTGATACTATTAATTCCTTTTGCTGATTGTGTACCCAGTCAGAATAGGTGGTAAATGGAGGGGGAAATAAAGTTGTGAGGATCCAGTTAAGAGTAGCAAAAAATATTTTTTTCCTTCATTGAACTAGGAAAAGGCTGCCAAACCCTGAAATGCTCTAGTAAAAAAAGTACATTTTCCTTTGTCTGGAAAACATGCTTTGTTTAAATCTAAAAAAAATAAATTATTGCGTATTTAGTGAGGTGTCATGTCTCCAAGCGAGTTAAAATACTAGCTAAGATTGGCATCAAAAAGGAGATGCCCTTTCCTGTCAGCCCACACATCTGTGCCTGCACTTCCCTTATAGCCTAATACGATAGACGTGTGGGACCGGGACCGGCAGAGATCATGTCGAATCCTGTTGTCCTAGTATGAAGTAGGAGGTAGAGGATTCATTTTTGAGGCTGACAGATGACGTTGTTCATTTAGAACTCCAGTTAGAAAAGAAATCGGAAAAAGGGAATTAATTATTTTTTTCCTAGTATTAAAATACCCCGTACCTGTTCCCTGAAGCTCTCCTGTTAAGCCTTTAAGTGTCCACTAAGAGGAACAGTTTAACCATTTTTTCAACTGGATTTGTTGCAGTTTCTAGGGTTTCCTGCAGTCCCATTTAAGACATGAAAATCTGGCAAAACCAACAAAAGTTTTGAATTTCTTACATTAAGGGTAGCTAAAATGCTATTTCATTCAGTTATTTTAATCTGCAATTACATGTTTCACCACAAGTGGCCTTTGATTTTTTTGCGAAGAAAGCTTTAACAGAAAATTCTGTCGCCTTAGGGAGGAGCCAAGAATCCACACACATCCTGGATTGTTAAAGGGCTCTCAGGTTTGTGGGAAACTCGTAAATGGGTTTAGTGTAGTTGAAGTATGTAGAGTTCTTTTTAATTATCATTAGATAGTGTCAAGTTTCTCTATCTGTATAAATCTGTAGAACTGGAGCGGAACCTGAGTGGTTGTGCACAAAACTTCCCTGCTCCAGGAAAGGCTTAGCTATAGCTAGCAGATGTTTGTGCAACTTGTTAACCTCTAAGAGCTTGCAGACGTGCAGCATACCAGGCAACTTTTTCCTGCAGCTTGTTATGCTTACCAGTAGAAACTGCCTTACTTTCATGTCTAAAGTTGTACTGGATATTAACAGCACTTGCTAATTAACAGCAAGAGCTTGAATCTGTTGTGATGGACCTAGTGGCATATCTGGAGCCTGGGTTTAAAATTAGCAGATGAGTTGCATGAAAGACATAAATGAAAATCCATCTCTACAGAAGCCTTAGGTACTATGTTGCACTTAAAAGCATAAAGGAGATATTGCAATACCTTAGCTATAACTTTTAACAAAATCTATCTGTGGTTATGCTATCAGTCTCCTGTTCTGCCCCAAACCTGTAGACAGTTTGTCCCAAAAATATACTTGACTGCTGTGCAGAGGAGGAGGTATGAGGAAGGTTTCCTAAATGAGTGGGTTCCTAAAATAATTTTCTGGTTGCTGGCTCAGGTTCCAGATGCAGGTTCCATTTGACTTGGTCATCTGTATGTTCCTTATAATATAATATAATGTGATATAAAATTGTTTCTGGTTACTATTGTTAATATGCTGTACATGCAAAGGAAAAATCCTTAGTTGATAGATCGTGACGCCATTTGGGGCCATTTGAGGGAATTGGTTTACAAAAAATGGATAAAGACATGTTTTGAAAATGCTGCTATTCTTGACTCTATTTTCTAACAGCCTTGCTGTCTGAGCAGTTGTGGAAAGCTGGATTCTTATTTTTAACCCATCAATGCAGGATTATCAGTATAACCACCTGCATTCTCTCAGGAAACATGTGCACACCATTCTTTCTCTGAGTTAAGCATTCAGAATTCCCAAATATTGGAGGAGGTGAATACTTCAACTCTTACTTACATACTTCAGGCCACCCGTGTCCCATGAAATGGACGAACATAAAGGGACCATTACAGAGGCAGCTCTTCCAGTT